ATCCGGTTGCAGGGCGTCGAGTTTTCCCTCTCCAGGTCAGTTGCTATATCCCACATAGGAACAAACGTATTTTAAAGCGACCCAACGACATGACTATCTCATGTTCTCCATCAGTTTTCACGGTCAAGACGTTCCGTTGCTAAGCGTGGCTGAAGTATCACAGCACTCAATGACGAATGTGGTGGACTGGAATACTGAATGATGCGGGTGCTGTTCACTTTAAGCACTGGCGAATTCAAGAACTTGCAATTTGACGGTCACGGCTTTCGGTCTGGCCTGGCAAGAGGTCCTACGTGAAGGCGTTTGATTAGGCGGCCCGCTACCGCGAAGCAACACATCACTCAAAAGTTCCACACTCCATGAAAATGCGCAGCTCAGGCACAGTCGTCGAGGATACGTAGCGGCAACAAAAGTTCCAATACATGCTGGCAGAGGGCGCAAAACACCTCCCCCATGAAGAAGGTGCTGCTGCTTGTCATGCTGGCTTGTAGAACGCCACATTTGCACAGGACGCATTGTTTAAAAGGCACAGCACTGCAATAATCATCAAAATCAGGAGTTAGCTATGACGAATCGATGACTGGCCTCAATATGCTACCGCCGCTTCTTGGCAGCTCGGAATTCCGATGTCGATCTTTGGTGACTACTTGCTCCGTCGTGCCTCAATGGCCGCGTTCTGCTGCCATAGATGTTCGAACGACTACTCACGGGCGTCGATTCGTACAGCCGATAGCCTCACCAGGGTCGTGGAAAGTGTTGATTCTTGCTTGCAGCGAGTCGAAACACCGCCCTTATCATCCCTGACCTAGAGGTCTTTCAGTGCTTGGGGGCACCAATTTTTCGGGTTTTCAGCTCGGGTGCATCTCCATTGCTGATCGTGCTGAGCTCTTCAAAGAGCAGGCACGATCACCAAAGTCGGCAAGTGACGGGAAAGTCTTTATCGGATGACAGGTGTTCGTATTCTTTCCGACTTATCGCCCCAGCTTCCGTGCCAGTAATGTATGGAGAACAAGAACACTGCGCATCATTGTAGTATGCTGTTTCGCAATGGCAGGAGATGGGAAGAATCATATCCTGCAGAGTGGTCCTTTCTCAAGATTCGGCTAGTCGTGTCAAGTCGAGCAGCGCGAGGATCAAATATCCTCCCCAGATCACGAAGATTAAAGGACCGTCCCTCGTGGATCTGAACGGAATTAAGCGCACTAACAAAGGTTTCGGAACCTACCCGGGGACGATCATGATCCAGACCCAAACGAAACCGAGAGAGGTGGAGAATCTTATCTTAAAGTTTCTCAATTGTGGCAGCATCTAATTTTCTTGGCGCTTCTGAAGATAGCATTGTAGAGCTATTGGGTATCATAGGAACACTCGAAACAACCACTGAGATGATCACGCCAACGAGCGAGTCTCACACTGTGGCTTCTGCCTCAACATTTTTCACCAACACATTGGTTGCCAAGACTGATGTAGTTCTACCAGCCCACTTGACTGGCGGGCCGCATGAGCAGCAAGACTGGGTAGTCGATAAATGCAACTGGAATTACCTCGCTTTGGTCTGCATAAGTCGTTGGTTGACCGCGAGGACAGGCTGGCAGTGATCAGCAGATTGCATTTGCGGTTGTGATGGATCAAGTTGGTTAAATCAAGACCAAGACGCAGCACATGCCACTGAGGTCTGTGTCCCCATGCAATCCTGGTGGCCACAAGCCGCAGGATCATCAGACGCCAGCTTCTAGAAGAACACGAGGGAGACATGGTGGGGGGCTCCGACGACAGTGCCTTGTCAAGCTTGTGTAGCAGTGCCCTGTGTAGCTCCTCGCGCCCCGCAGCCCGGCTCAGTCGGCGTCTGTCGTGCCATCATCGTCTTAGATGCACAGCGAATGGGCTCTCACCAATTGCATGTCAATGCAACATTTACCAGACTGGGCACGACGATCGCCAAGCTAGCAGCATGCCGCGTAACATGCACACTAAACGCGATACTCCAATAGGAAGCTGCGTACACGGGGATAATAATGCGAGCCAGGGCGTTGCCGACTGCCGTCCGGGTTCGCGCCCGCGAGCTTATCACAAACAAACTACTACCATAGCTATTCAAAGCTCATGGTGCCGTGTTGCCGCGAGGCACAATTTGACGGCTGGACACGGCTTGCTATCGCCTTCCACCCTGCGTCATGTGGTAGCACCTGCAGATGACGCCAGGCGTGCTCCGAGTCGCACAAAGGCGGTCGGTAGTAATGACGTGACACTCTGAGCAACCTGGTATAAAACCCCCTCAAGTCCTAGCTTCTTCCTCTGCCAAGAGATTTGACTAGTCAGGCGACATTCTCAAGATGAATTTCAACCTATTTAGCGTCCTTCTCAGTCTGGGGACTCTGTCTCAGGCAGCGTTCAACCAGGGTGCCCTCAATGCGTTCAACCATAGACTCCCGCGCAACTACCAGAAGCGTCACGTCGCGCCTCCGCTGCCGCCAACACTGCCGAAGCGTGAGAAATCCCGATTCTTGACTGAAAAGACCGAGAAGTTCGTTGTCGATGGCACTGCCATCCCGGAGGTCACATTTGACGTTGGCGAGTCGTACGCTGGTCTACTGCCCATCTCCCAGTCGCCTGACGAGGAGAGAGAACTCTACTTTTGGTTCTTCCCCTCCACGAACCCCCAGGCTGGCGATGAAGTCGTCATTTGGTAAGCCCGGCGCCTTACGCCAACTGAGCGTAACTGATATCATCGGCTCAGGTTGAATGGTGGTCCTGGCTGTAGCTCGCTCAGTGGGCTCCTGACCGAGAATGGACCCTTCCTGTGGCAGGAGGGCACGCTTGCTCCCACTCCCAACTCTTACAGCTGGACGAACCTGTGAGTGCATTTGGCTGGTACATCCTCTGCAACAGCCATGCTCACATCACGATAGGACCAATGTCATCTGGATTGAACAGCCAGTTGGAGTTGGCTACAGCCAAGGAACCCCTAACATTACCAATGAAGTCGAGCTTGGTCTGCAGTTCGTTGGGTTCTGGCGCAACTTCATCGAGACATTTGACCTGCATGGTGCCACAACGTACATCACCGGCGAATCTTATGCCGGCTACTACGTTCCTTACATAGCAGACGCCTTCATCACGGCAGCTGACGACACCTATTATAAGCTCGGCGGAGTCGCTATCAACGACCCCATTCTCGGCGATAGTGCACTTCAGCAGCAGGCTGTCATTTTCCCCTTTATCGAGTATTGGCAGAATCTTCTCTACCTCAACGACTCGTACCTCGATGCTCTGCGGTGGACACATGAGTACTGCAACTACTCCACGTACCTTGACACCTATGGCACGTTTCCTCCTCCTCCAGGGCCCTTCCCAGTCCTGGATGACCCTTATGCGGACACAACCGGCAACTACACCTGCGACATCTTTGATTACGCATATCAGGCAGCTATCGAGCAAAATCCTTGTTTCAACATCTATCACATAACCGACACGTGCCCGTTCAAAATTTCCCAGCTCGGCATTGTCAACGAGGTAAGACATTGCTGCCAACCAGTTTAACCGAGAAAATACTGATCATTTGTCCCAGGGCGACTATGCGCCCCCCGGTGCCCAAGTGTACTTCAATCGCACAGACGTCAAGAAGGCTCTGAACGCCCCCGACGTCGACTGGTTCCAGTGCACTCCCAACAACGTCTTTGGCGGCGGCAACTCGTCTTCTCGAGCCAGTGACACCTCTCTCGCACCCGCTCAGAACGACGTTCTCAAGCGCGTCATTGAGCACACCAACAACACCATCATCGGTGTCGGCCGCCTCGACTTCCTCCTACCCCCTAATGGTACCCTCTTTGCCCTGCAGAACGTCACCTGGAACGGTGCCCAGGGTTTCCAGAGCTACCCGCAGGACCAGACCTTCTACGTGCCCTTCCATCCCGAATACAACAACGGTCGTCTCAGCGAATCCGGTACGGTTGGCCAGTGGGGCTATGAGCGCGGCGTCACGTACTACGAGGTGCAGTTGGCCGGTCATGAGCTCCCGGGATACTCTGCTGGCTCGGGATATCGTATCCTCGAGCTTCTCGTGGGACGTATTCGTGACCTTGGGGTGACGGATAGCTTTACGACTCAGAAAGGCCCGTCCAAGGGTAATTGTACCAGACGACATTGATGAGGCTTGAGCCATGTGACGTTGTGAGGCACTTAGCATCTCTGCTTCTGAGGTGGGTGCTTTCATTTTGGGATTTAAATATAGTACGATTACAATGCACCACTGATATCGACGCTTCTCATTATGTGGCTGCAAAGCAATCATCATCATTGCTACAGTGAAGTTCAAAACATAGCCGTGCCTCCTGCCATTCACTAAACATGGCTAACAAGACAATTCTGGCACAACGGTTGATGCTTGTACCAATTTCTAGTGTCTCTTAGTGACGTTGGCTTAGAAGGTAAACGACTTGCGCACCGCAGAGCGCACTTTCAAGGGTGTCAAGTATCCACGCCAAGCAAGGTCAGGAGTGACAGTGACGAGCATCTGAAGACCTCAAAGACTTTGCAACCGAGATAAACGAAGTGCGCGAGCTGGTCAAGATTGTATTGGCCCTTGCTGGGGCGTTTGTCTCTTCGTGTAAGCATGACCGTGGAGATGGAATGAATAGAGAAGTAGCTTCCTATCAAGAGATTGACCCCTACAACAAGCTTGAAGAAGCTCTCGCGGGGGTCTCGTTAGAATGAAACGAGCTTGTCGCGAAGCTCGTAGCCCAGAAACAGAACACTGAGTATATTCGGGAGAAAGGTCTAGAAAGTTCTCCTCTTTGCGCGGCAGCAGACAATAGGCACGTCGTTATCATGTTGAGGAAGAGGTCACTTGCTTGTAGACAATGATAATTGATTAGAACACACATTCAAGTGCGTACCCTGACGGCAACACGATAAATATAGCTAGTGCTTGCCAATGCATCGACTTCATACCCGTTGAAATGTGATTAGAGGCTCTGCCTCTGGCAAACCGATTAGATGCTTCACACAGCTCGTGTGTTGTCCCCGTGTGATCCCGTCGTTGTTTGCGCAGTCTTCTCGCCTGCCACGTATCCGTCGTTGCCCACAGCAGGTTCGACGCCTTTCACTTTCGCTGCCTCAATCTCAACAGTAAGCTCGTCCAACCGCGACGTTTTGACGTGTGTGCGCCAGGCCGGGATGCCTGAGTTGAACACATCGTCCATTTCCTCAAGCGTGAAGCCCTAATGGGTGTTAGTCAGATCCCAACAGCAAGGATTTTTGATGTTCACCTTTGTTTCTGGCGCGAGCAGGAACATGTGGATGCATGCGAGTGCGTTGAAGGTGGCGAAGATGTAGTACATGTTGTAGTTGATGTTCCAGAGCAGTGGAGGCACGGCAAATGCCAGAACAGTGTTGAAGAACCAGTTTGTAGCTGTCGCGAGCGAGACAGCCTTGGCGCGTACTTTACTCGGGAAGATCTCGGCAGGGTAGGTCCAGGACACTGGTCCCCAGGTGGTCGCGAAAGTTGCGACGAAGAGATAGGAGCATGAGACAATAGCGATAGAAACGGGTCGCTGCTCGTAAACGATCCAGGTGACATCAGAGTTCTCAGTGGTGCGCGTCTCATCCGTGTTCGGCTCGCCATAGGCCTGTTGCAACGCACCCGAGATGAAAAGCCAGGTCATCATGAAGAAGGAGCCGATGATGAGGGGCTTACGGCGACCCCACTTGTCGAGGAAGATAATAGCGGGAAGGGTAAGGGCAACGTTGATGATGTACTGTACCGAAGCTGTCAGAAGAGGGTTGCCAAGGCCAGCGCCTTGCATGATGTAGACGATGTAGTCTGGGGTTGTTAGTGCTGATACTCTCCATCGTGTATATGCCTCGAACTTACACATCATAATGTTCATTCCGCAAAGCTGCGACCAAGCCTGCAAACTCATACCGAGAAGCACGCGCTTGAACATTCTCGGAGCGACGAGTGCCTTGAAGCTTGTAACAGCCTGCTCACGTTCGAAGCGTAGAGCCTCCTCGATTTCTTGATACTGAGCGAGGACTTTGGGGTCATCGGGATTGCCCTTTCCATGGACATGGACGAGAACCTTCATTGCCTCTTCCCAGCGATCCTTCGACGCGAGCCACCGTGGACTGTAGGGGCAGAAAAATAGGCCGAAGAAGAGGATGACGCCAGGCACCATCTGAACACCCCAGGGGATACGGAAAGCGGCGGTTGACTGCTCGGGATCAGTCGGACCACCATCTGTGCCCTCGGCCGCACCATACTGGATGAAGTACTGAATCAGGATACCCCAAGTAATGGCCCACTGCTGCAGCGATACGACGCGGCCACGAATCTCTTTGGGAGCAATCTCGGACTGGTAGACAGGAACGATGGCTGAGCATATACCGACACAGTAGCCGGCAACAATGCGGCCTACGCAGAGTAGAGCCACACCGTTGGCGGCACACTGAAATGTAGCACCGATGATCCAGAAGATACAGGCGATCTGCAGAGACACCTTTCGAGAGAAACGATCGGCGATGAAGGAAGAAGAAAGAGCACCCAGGAGAGAGCCAACAGGCATGGAGGCAGTGATGCCACCCTGGCGGTACTCGGTTGGGTGGTCGAAGTACTGGCGGTAGGCCTCGGTGCCGAGGACGCCAGACATGGAAGAGATGTCGAATCCGAATAGACCACCGCCTGTAGATTATCATTAACAAAGTTCTTTGTGATGAAGAAGACCATGCTTGGCCAGAGGTCGCTTGATGGACATGGTGAGACGATAGACACCAGCGGTTGATAGACTTACCAATGGCGGCAAAGCCACAGATGGCATAGACATTGCTTGCCTGCCACATGTTTCTGTGATGGCGAATATCCACCAGTGTCTTTTCAGTACATGTAGAGTGTGATCCACTTTCTCCGGTGGTGTTGTGGTGGTACTAGGCCTTGGAAGCCCCACAATCGAATTCCGTTGCACGTCCACTCTGTGTAAGATCAAGATGGATGCAGCTTGTTACCCAAGCATGGTGGGGGGTCTTCACATGATATGGACTTGACTGTCTCCTATCTTGTCCAACCTCGCCATGGTTCGGTCCCGGCCTTGGCCCTGGAAGCGATCTTGGGGGAGTTGGGGTTTGTCGGTCTCGGCAGTCAGGATTCCACCCTAGTCATGGGGCGTAGCATCATGCAGCTTCGCCAAACGCCTGATGAAGCAACAAGCAAGGTTGATTGACAAGGATTAATGGTCGATCGCCAACAATAGGACATGTTTGGAGCGGAAATATGGCATTAGACCGAATTATATGCGCGGACAATTGTTGACACTGGCGCTCTTCTCCTACAACCATCCTTTTGGACAATAAGACCAGGCATCCAATCTTTGGTCGGGTCGAATGCGATTCGTCCCCGCATGTGAGAAGTCTTGCTTGCAGGTGTGACGCGTTCGACCCATGGGAACAACTTTGTACACCATCTTGAGTGAAAGGCCAAGCTCGCCAAGGAGCCCAGTCAAGAGTAACACACAGGCGATGAGGCATCTTACTAGAACTTCCCCGCAAGACAATTCGATGCTACCGGCGGATGATTAGAGAAAGCTGACACGCCATGACCTAGATACCTTAGCATAACAACACACAGGCTTTTAGTCCAGCTTAAGACAACTTGCACACAAAACCAGCTCCCGGCTTCATGCCACCATGTGTTCACCGCGATATTACTGAAACGACTATATAACGCTGTACGCGTCAACCTCGACGGTAATTCGATGTTACTATCCTTCGCCAGTGTAAGCATCACTCTGAGCCAGGCATTCGGGCCGTCCGCATGGTATCACCCACACGTTCCGATCCACCTGATTCCTCCTGAGATCCCACCGCCACCGTGACCTGGCAAGCAAGGCAGGGAAGCTGCCAGGTACCACAGGCATCAAAAGATCGGCCCATCCACCATCTTCTCAAGCGTCAAAAGGACTGGACGACTCTCAGCAACCAAGAGCAAAAGTTGAGGTCATCGGGATCTAGGCAATTCAGATCCGCCGAACCAAGGCCGCTACGCCACTTGCGATTGCAGGAAGCCGATCCTTCGCGGCATATCGATAGAAGTACTCCCGCTCGACTCGGTCGCCAATACCCCGCCCCCGAATAAGCTGGGCGCATGTCACTTCTTACGCGACGGCCTCTTCCGAGCCCTCGGACCACTTGACTGACCTTCTCCTCCATTCGTACGCTCAAAGTCGAACGTGATGGTGCAGCACATGGCACTATCATTGATCAACCATTTGTCGTGGATCCCGTGAATCCGAAATCTCAGAAATGAGTATTTTGGAAATGACTTTAAGTATTAACTATTGATGTACGTGGTTGAAGGACTTGAATTGCTGGCTCAGCGACGAAAATTCGAAAGCAAATTGCTAATTTCAGGGCCTTTCGAGTTGAGACGCCCACCGCCACGCTGGCATTCTTTGAGCCACACCTCGTAAAGAATGATAAATTGAAATCGAATTTCACAGGCCTCGACACAGGAGAGACTCGCTAAGTCCTACTTCGCGGGTAGGCACATTGATCACTTATTGTCCTAAACGGAGCGAAGGTATTGGCAGTATGAGGATAGTAAGACACGTGTCTCGACGCAAGGCTACGGGCTTGTTTCCGTCTCAAGCTTGCTCTACTCACTTTCCCGCGCAACGATATCAAGTTCGAATATCTTCACATACCGCAGGAGAATATTGGCGCATCCATGTGGTAATTGCGGAGCAAGCTAGTCAATATTCTGCACACGAATGTTGTGACGAGGCGGTGTCCGAATCTCACCGCTGTGTCGCTCCACCTGAGTATCGTGAGAACTGGCCAAGTGAACGACCTCGGCTTTTCCCCAAAGGTCATTTTCTACGTCGACGCCAGTTATCAATCAAAGACCCTTGGCGACGGCGCCAAGGCTCAGCTGTGGGCACCCACAGCACCGTTCAGGGACACCAGACCCGGCGCATATCAAAGTCCGGTGGGGAAGGAGGTCAAGCTCAATGCTACGGCCGAGGGCCCGAATGATGAAGAGACTGTAGGGCTGAACTCAGCAGTATGTAAAATCCTTCAATTTGCAGTGAAAGATGTATGACATGTCCATACATGCCGTTTATCAATATATGTCAAGAAGACGAGTGATTAAGACGTCATTGTCACAATCAGACGGTGTTTATTCTGCTGCAGCTGTGGGTGATGTTAAGATCACCACCAAGCGAGAAGGCCATATGCCACCTGCTCCGGTAGAGAACCGGAAGCACTCCCACCAGACCGTGTCTCAAAAGTCATTAAACCTAGAAATGAGAAAGCCTTGATGAATTGAGAATTCCTTCCGACATCAAAGTGGTAGGTAGTAAATGGAAATGGCCAAAAAAAGAGTCAAAAACATAGAACATCAGGGATTCGCTGGTGGTCACCCACCCAACTACTAGTCCGACCCTTACTGGCTTATCTATGGGAGAGCGGACGGGATCCCGAGTTCTCCAGTAGGTATGGTCGTATGTGCCTGGATTTAGCATCTTGCGGTATATGATCGAGATCACCCCTCACTAGACGCTGCTTTATCCTAACAACTGCTGCCCCTCAAAAATTACCTGGATGGCTCAGGATACTTCGCACCTGCAGCATGCATCATTGTTTGTACGGTTACCAATTGACCCCCCCTCCCCCATAACAGGCCCGGGTTTGATCGGATGGTTGTGTGACTCTGCATTCCCAGGCAAAGCTGCGCCATGCAGATGGATTTAGGGAACCAATGGCAAACTCAGCTTCGCGAAAGAAAGAACCTCTGATCTACGGTCAACTCGAGAGTTCGATCAAGTCTTCGTAGTCAATGAGAGCGGTCCGTTCGTGAACGTCTTCCTCTCCACAATCATGCCTGAAGCACAACCTGTAGTGAGAAAAAGGCTGTTGCTCCGAAGAGCGCTAGCCGTGTCCAAACGAGCAACAGCAGCTGCGCCCCGAAAGGCACAGCGCCGTCACTCGAGCCCCCGCCAACAGGCAGGGGTAAATCCTGCGAGAAATTGTCAATATCGAAGCCGCCATCAAGGCTGTATCCGAAACAAGTCGATGGTGAGAGAAACTCTGCATGTGAATTCGTAAGAGCCCGCAGAGGTCTTCTCCTAGGACCGCGAGGCGATCTGGTAGTGCGGAGGACACGAGCTGCGGGCTCGGTGGTTCCGACAGCAGCGTTGCCTGCAAATCAGTTCCCTATAAGATACAAGTGAGCCAGACCAAAGGCCCCGCGAAAGGGCAGGGCAGGGGAGTGAAGCATCCTCAACAGAGGGTACAAAAAAACAGAAAAAGAAAAAGGGAGGCCCGGGTATCATAGAGTCCCTGAGAACATGCCTCGACAGTCCGTCCTCCTCAACGCCGTACGCCGCCGCCCGCCTTGTTGGCGTCATGCTCGAAACCGCCACCCTTCCCTTGCACTACATGCGTGCGACCAATTCCCAAACGCCCCAAGCGCTCCTGTCGATCCACAAACCCACAAACATTACGGCCGTGTCGCCTCAGGCAAACTCCTAGTCGTCGCAGGGACCGATGTGCTTCTCATGAAGAAGTCGCAGATGACCACGCTGCAGGCGGAATGACGAGTAATTCCCCGCGAGAATCGTCTCAAGAATACTCGCCGTGTTGGTGCCGTGGCCACCTCCCTTGGAAAGCTCGGCCATGCGCTCCTTGACCATGCGGTGCGCCGAGTGGAAATCGTAGAAGATGATTCCAACATTGCTCGAGCCGCCAGAAATGTCATTCGAGGAATTGTTGGGGTCGATGATCGACAGGCGGTCTCTGTTCTTGTACGTCAGGTTATGGTCTCTGGATGACTGTAGGAAGTTAGCATTCTGTTGGTCAATCAAGAGGTGGGTGACTCGCCTTGCGAACATAACCAGGTGGGTTAATGCGAATCGCCGTGGTCTTGTAGTCGAACCTGTTGCCATAAAGGTCAAAGAATTCCATGAGCATCTCGCCGAGATGATGCTCTGGGACGAGGTTCTTGCTCTGCACCTTGGGCATCAGCTGCAGCATGCTCATGACCATGCAACTAACGGAGAAACTGCCGATGCCGCCGTTGACAGGCTCATTGAGCCCACGCATGGCGAGGAAGTGCTTGATGATGGTGACGAGGATGGGCAGAGCGGGGTACTGCTCCTTCCAGTCCAGAAATGTCTTGATAGCAGCAGGACCATCCATTCTGTCGAACGAGATATCGACACGCAAACCAGTGACGGCGTCAATGTACTTCACCAGAGGCACTCTGGCTTTGGCAATAACCTCCACGGACGAGGGGTCGGCAAGCCGATTTTGTGTGAGGAAGCCCCGGAATTTGTATAAGGAGCTGCCGCCAGGGAAGGCAGTCATGCGGCCGGAGAGCCATTCCTTTGAACAGATAACAATGTCCATGTCGGCAGTGGGCAGGTACAAACCGGACATGTAGGACCCGAATGGGTGAACTTCGCAGCCGCGGTACTTGGGATTGCGGCGAAGTGAGTCACGGATGCGTTCAATCAGCTCGCCTCGCATACGCTGCTCAAAATCGCGAGGGCGCACATGCTCGTAAAAGTCTACAATCTCCTTGTGAAGCCTGACATGGATCAGCAAATTTTGCTCTTTGAGGTGGGTGCCAAAACTTACCAAACACTCATGTCAGAGGTTTGAGAATGGTCCGCAATAATCCAGGGACAATCGTCCTCCTCACGAACGGGTTCCCATTCAGGGACGACGTTGCCGCGGACAGGCATTTTGTTGACCTTCTTTAGTGCGCCGTAGGAAGGAGGCTTGATCTCGTCGTCAAAGGTGCGCTTGCGCGAGCCCAAGGGGTCAGAGTTATCGGGGACAGATGCCATGGAGCGGGGTTTAGAACCTGGACTTGGTGGCAGGGGAGGCTTTGGAGGCAGTGACGTGTCGGCAGGAAGGCGCCCATTCTGCTCGGCCGAATCAGTTGAATGCTGCGGCCGCTGTTGACGCCCACTGGATCCAGAAGCATTGTTGCTGGCGCTCCCATTGATCCTGATTTCCCCCTCATCGTCGTCGCCCAGATCGAATGAAATGAAATCCTCAGCCTCGGTGCTGGCAGCCAGTTTGTTGGCCGCCTGATCCTCCATGCGCGCCTTGCGGATCATGGCGACCATGTCCTTTTTCTTGCGATGTACGTCTTCCGGTGGCAAAGCCGTCTCGGCGTCAGGGTTTGACCACTTGGGGGCACTGTCGCCAGCCGTCGCGTTCCCGTGCTCCCGGCGCCTGCGCTTGCTCGAGGGTTCATCGGCATCGCCATCAGACTGATCCGAGATGTCCATGTCTGTCTCTTCATCGTCCGACAGTTCGTCAATGTTGCGATATTTCGCGCCATCGTCTTCGCCAACCAATTTCTCCTGCACCTCGCTGTTGTCTTTGCGCAGCAGTTCACGCTCGGCAGGATTGAATCTGGCGCGTCCGCGATATCCTCCACGACCGCGTCCACGAGGCTGAGCCATCCTTCTTGGCGGCGCGCCTCCTCCTGGGCGATATGAATCGGTGAAGGACTCGCCGACGCCAGCGGGCTTGTCGAACCGGAAGTTGAAGTCGCCCTGGGGCGGACGCGGGTCGCGCTGATTGTACGCATCGGATCGCCTGCTGTCGCGGGGCCCGTTATATGAAGGTTGATAGCTGTCGCGCCGAGGGGAGGCAGATCTTCGGTAGTCGCGATCACTATCGCGATGGCGCCAGGTGTCTCTACCTGGGGGGCCAGGAGGAGGAGGGGGCGCGGCATGTGATGGTGGCGGGGGAGGAGCGTCATAGTATGGCCTCTTGTTGCGGTGATCATCTCGCCGGCCGTTGCGGCCGTTTGAGTACGAGGGGCGGTAATTGCTCATGGTGGCTTCCTTCGCCGAGTGCCTCGGATGCTGTGGGTGTGTCGTGATGCGGCTTGCGACTCTAGACTCTGTAAAACAGAAAAAGGAATCGCGAAAATGTTGACGTCGGGTTCGAGGACAAGCGAAGAGCGCTAGCTGCTAAGAGACTAGCGGCAACAGAGGCACTTATCAATGGGGCTCGATAAGACAAATGTGATGGGGGCGTGTCACGTGAGGCTTTTGAACTGGTTCCCATTAACTAGTTGTGGCCTTGGCTACATGATTTCCTGCCACCATCGATGCGCCAAGACTTCCTCTATCACTGTTCTGGCCGTCGGGTCTGGATTTGTTATTCCAGATATCATATTGAGTGCCTCGGCACCAAGCTCCTCTCCCCACCGCTCGAATCTTAGCTCCGGCTGTTCCTTCACTGCTGCCTCAGCTACTTTGGACGCTGCCTCCAAAGCGTTGCGCCAATCCTCACTATTGACTTGCTTGAGGAGTCCTTCGGAAACTGGCCCAAAGTAGGAAAAGTGGCGAATCAAAATCTCTTGTTCCGGCTTTATACCACTCTTTACTAGCTCCTGATAATCGTTCAAGAGCAATAATTCCCCACCTCCAAGAGCATATATGCACTGTGAACGGAACTTAGCATGAAACCCCAAGCTTGACTGTGGCCCACTTACTACTAGTCCAAACGAGAACAAATCCGACGCCTTGGTCACACCCCTTCCAGTCTGTCCTTCTGGGCTTCGCCACATAACGTTTCCTACTGCAAAAGGGGTTCGACAGGGCTCTCCAGTGTCCGACTTGGAAGCGATATCAAAATCGCCTAGGGCCACATCGGTGACTGTTTTGGTACCCTCTTTGTCGCAAGTCCAATTAACCAGTATGTTATCAGGCTTCACATCTGTCACAAATGATTGATTCGTTAGTCATTTTCAACGGCACTTCCTGGATTGCGGAGGGCGTACCAGTGTGCATCCAGTCCTTGGCATGAAGTTCTTGTATTGCCTCTCCTACGCGTCGCAGTATCTTTCTTCGTTCTGCTGGAGGGAAGTCCGGGTCTTCCTGTACGAGGTCAAGCAGGGTGCCTCTAAAATATGGATAGACTAGAATGCCTTCTTCTGGGTTGCAATCAATGTGCATTCGAAGCCGACGAGACCCTGTAAACTCGGCTGCGAGGCGCAGTGACAGATCGTAGAACGGCCTAGGTACGCGCTTGAGGACAAACGCCTCCTCACCGGACCTGGGTGAGATATGTCAGAGACTTGACTAAGTGGCGATATGAGAGCATAAGGTTGAGACGTACTCGGCTTTGAAGATGCTGAGCGTATGATCCTCGCGATGACGCTGGAGCATGTCGCCTTGAACGTACGCCCGACCGGATTTGCCCATTACAGTGGATGCCATTCTGACGCTTATACAGTAGGCATGCCGACGGAAGGGAGTGTGAAAGGCAAGCCGACTCAAGGGCATAGTAAACGAGAGACGATTGGGAGGCATCTAGGAGAGGAGGGTGTTAACTAGGAGTCCGCCTTATATTTTCTCGCAGCATTGTGGTATCGTCTTGGATCTGTGGTGCCGGTTTAGCAGTTCCGGTTGGAAGTTACCCAGTGTGAATCATGTGGTTCCGTTACGTCAGCTGATGCTCGGATTGAACCAACCGGGGCTGTGATGGACTGTCCCTTCAGGACACCACACCGCAATTCTGGCGTGCCAAATCTGAACAATCAGGACAACGGTTCCGTCCAAAAAAGATGCAAGCGATGACGAATGGGCGTTGTATTGAAAGCGAGACCCAGCCATGCAGGGCCCGAAGATGTTTTCAGTCGGCAGCCTCTCTTAACTATGGCAACACCCCTGAGGTAAACATCTATGTATGCCCACGCCTGTAAATTGCTGCGCCACCCCGCCGGTTTCAGATCTGATTCGGCGTCGCTGCTCACCCATTCTCATTGCCAGCTCTCATCACCAACTCTCATAGCCAACTCTGATCACCAACTCCTATAACCGACTCTCATTACCAACTCTCATTAACAATTTTCATCAACATCTATCATGGCCAACTCTCATTACCAACTCTCATCAACAACTATCATGGCCAACTCTCATTACCAACTCTCATTAACAATTTTCATCAACATCTATCATGGCCAACTCTCATTACCAACTCTCATCAACAACTATCATGGCCAACTCTCATTACCAACTCTCATCAACATCTATCATGGCCAACTCTCATCACCAACTCTCATAACCTCTGGCATCACAGATGTCCTCCATAGGGATTTAAAGCCAGGCCTCGCCCGAATATCTTCTGTCGATTGATTTTGAATCATACCAACAAATATCTGTTCACTATCACCAAGCCGTAACCCAGCCCCCAATCCTCACTAAACTGAGCCTCCAAGATGGTCAACAAGGTGATCAGCAGTTCCACAATCAAAACAATTATGAATAGTGGCCGATCCATCACTGTCAAGTATGCGACCCAGACCGATACTTGGAAGCGTATTCATCTCGCAACGGACGTGCAAGAGAAATTCACCAAAGCCATGGAAACGGCCGATGTGCCCGCTGACGCCACAACAGCCATCATGACGCGGGTCGCTCCCCAGTGTACCTATAGACGTGCATGAAGTATTGACCTATGATCTAGTGAAACTGAACATCCCAGCCAGAAAGATTCTTATTCCCACTACACCACTGTCTATCAGGATGACAACGGAAGACACATCACGACCAAGCATGTCTACCCCTAGTAAACATACACCGCACACATAGAGGGTCGAGCATCAGGGTGGGGAGCCGGAGAGAACCAGTGGGGTGCAAATGTGTACCTGGAGGATGCCTCAGTACCAAGGAGTTCGGCAAAGCTACACAGCAGCAGTGTGCCATGAGGATGCGATAATCTAAGGTTCCTGCTTTTGAAGCCTAGAAACTTTCTTCTTAAGGCTGCAGGTGTAAAAGTTTATGACAGAGAGAATCTATACTTCTGGTCTCGCCATATTCATTCAGTTACGCAAACATAATCACCTAACTAAGTAAGAAATGACGATGCAAGGGAAACAGTTTGGCCCGAAACTGCCCAGCATACGTTTCTTCGGCTCCGTCTGGAAACCCTTTTCACTCGCCCGTCGGCACAAAATACATCCCCTTTACATTACTTTTACTAAGCGCAATGACAGCAACAAGGGCCTTTAGGACCTTGACCGCCCTTTCTTTGATCTCACCTTCATATAGGCCCGAAAGCTCCACAGAAGCGCTACAAGGAGGTATGGAAGAGCTGTTGTTCTCTGCCAATGATCCACCGAGCGAGGACGTCTTGATTACTCTCGATTCGGGGTGAGTCGATTGCCATGTCCATGCTCTAGAAACCTGGCTCATGCCCGCACGGCTAGAACATGTTAACGATGGCAGGACCAAGGGAAACTGCGGAGTGATGTATTGAGAAGGTCGCACCTCAGGCCGTCAATCGAGGGGAGGGCAGCGATCGACACTCCACGCGTCCTCCGCAGCAAGAGTGTCCAGCTCCAACATGGCCTGTTTCTTGTCAAGCGTACTGATAAGAGATGTCCGAATGCAGGGAATGTTCTAATGAGCTGAAGAAGAGAAGTCAAGTTTCGGCTTTCGGAGGGAGTGACATCAATCGTCAACTGCAAGTGCTTTTTGATGATGAACGAAAAGGAGTTCAACGCGGCGAGGCGCATTTCCGGCGTTTCTCTCGCGTCATAACATTTACGAGAACACTTCAGAATCGCCAGCGAATGGAACAGCAATCACGGCTTCCATATTTCCAAATTTCTGTCGTCTAAAATGAGATCAAGATGATGCACAAAGTCTAATCATGGTCGTGTTGGCTTCATCATGTGCTTATCAACAGGTCGTAAATTTCTTTGGGTGCCAGAACTTCAAGCTCTTGTACGGCCCTCCAAAGAGGGAATTGGGTTTCCAAGGTTTCGTCATGAGCGACTGGATGGCTGAGCATACTGGTGAAGCGAGTGTCATCGCGGTGCTCGACATAAGCATGGCCAAAACGATCTGTTCTATATCGGCAGCCGCTACTGTGGCACCAACCTGACGCTGGCTGTCATCAATGGCACCGTGCCGGCGTGACGTCTAGACGACAGGGCCATGCGCATCATGGCTGCATTTTAAAGGTTGAGCATGACCGTCGAGGACTAGCCAGAGATTCTTCTTATCGTGGACTTTCTGAGCCCCCGGACCAATCCAAAACGTGGCAGGTGTCAATCAAGTCATCAATTAGCACGTCGACGTCAGACAGAGAGATCGCGCTGGACTTTTTCGTGAAATTGCTGTCAAAAGAACCGTTTTACTCAAGAACTAAGATTCATTTGCGGCAAACGAGCTGCTCTTCTTTGCTGTCATCGGAAGAGAGACAGGTCCCAACAGCAAGGGTCCGAATCGGTGTGCTGACAGGCTGTGTAAGTGGTATTTTCGGTGACGAGTGGGGTGTAGAACGGCCAACTACCCCTACCTCGTCACCCCTTGCCAGGCACGCCAGCAGCAGCCTATCAAGGCATTACAACCATCGGGTTATCACTGAATTTGACAAGACTGATTTTGTTGTCCTCGAGAAACATGCCCCTGTCAGCACCACTGCGACGACTCCTGTCGAGTTTGGAGTGACGAGCGACATGCTACAGAGTTGCACTATTGCTATGCACTCTGCAGGTGCAACTTCTAACTCGGACTGGAGTGAGTCCTTGTACAAACAAAGCCTCAGAAGGGAGGCTCTGAGTCGTGCTTGTGGCTCGATAACGGGATTCGGGCGCCAGAATGGTGCGGAAGCGGACTGCACTGCATTACAGGGGCTGTACAGCCCTGACAACTGCCTTTGAGGCCCTCCAGGGCGAGCAGGTGGGGCTCCATCTCGGGACCCAGCATTTCTTACTATAAAAGGGGCACGTGATGGACCCTAGCACGTGATGCTTCTGCCAAGCATGTCGATGCATATTCCGCCACCTTACCTGCCTGATTGAATCTCCATGATCCAATCCACGGCATCGCCCGCCGCGTTGATCATCGGCATCCCCGCGCCTCGAACAAAAGGTCTCCTTTCAGACATCATGGCGTCAAATTGCGCAAATGAACACGCAACAAGTCAGATGACCTCACCAGGCGTCCTTCGCAGGGCGCTTCTGCACCTCTTACGCACAGCCTAGCGCTCTGATGACTGTCGCGGAAGCCAAGCTTTGATTCGGGGTCAAGCTTTCGAGGCCCTTCCCATTCCAAGCACATGATTCGACAGTGAAGGGTACATTGATGAAAGATCCTGGGCGCCAGCTCTGCAACTCAACAAGCAAGCCCCGCGTGAAGGAACCCCCAAGCGACTGAGGCCCCCGTTTGCACAGCCCTCTTTGCACCCCAGTCTCACCCCAACAATGGCCAACAGCATGCCGGTATCGATTGACGAGAGCGGCGGGAGAAGAGGAGCCTCACGGGACTCGGACAGGGCCGGGCTCGCCGATGGACACGTGCCCTCCGGTTGCCACTCCGTTGCGACTACAGGCGACCCACGGCAGACGCTGTCCGCCGCGTGGTGGTGACTACGACTACTTTGTCTGCTTGCCTGCAGTGTGTGAATCATGAGCTGCGGTAGCCAATGCCATTCCGAGGGCAAAAACACGGGCTACTTTATACTAGCCCCATGCTCGCCCGAAGAGCCAAGGCCATAGATTTCCAGAGCCACGGCCACAGATTTCTACCACAAAACCTAGGGATGTGCAGCATAGTGCTAACCCGCAGCAATGTTTGGCTGGGCTTGTGCAGGATCGCCGTCGAGCTGCCAAGATAACCCGTGACGTGGCCCGCGACCACACTCCGTCAGTAGCCCGGCTACGAGGCTCTTCAGCCTTGGCATCCAACCTCTTGGCCCTGGTCCCCGCAGCGATGACTCGGTGGACCACCATCCCAGCGACATGCAGTGTCTTCGTCGTATGGAGACTGGGTGTGAGGCTCGCAGAAAATGGCTGGGCGTCAGCATTGGGGGTCCATGGTCAAGCTGGCGCGGAACATCGTTATTACCTCTGCCTCCCCCCTCAAACCCCTGCGGCCGAGGTCTTGGACTCTTGGTATTCTGAGCTCGTTGGCCACGTCTCAATTGTTTCTCTTGTCCTTCCTTCCCCATCGTCGTTCACATCGGTCTTGGTGTTCCCTTCCACCGCCGAACACCCATTCATCGCACTCGCATAAGCCCTGCGTTTTGGGACAAACGCAATCGCCTGTGTCGCATTGCTGATCGCCTCTTGCCAGGCAAAGGCAACAAAAACAGATGAGCGACGACATTACGGCGGTGGCGCCACGGCCGTATGACTCTGGCGCCCCGCGCGCTGTGTCGCCCCTCGCATCTTCCCCTGCTCCCGAAGAAAAGA